GGGACTTGAGGAATCTCCTAAACCTTGGGCAGAATCCCTGGGACTTGAGGGATCCCCTAAACCTCGGGAGGACTTCTTGGGTTTTGAGGGATCTCCTAAACCTTGGGAGAACTCCTTGGGACTGATGGGATCTCCTAAACCTTGGAAGAACTCCTTGGGACTCGAGGGATCCCCTAAACCCTGAGAGCACTCCTTGGGACTGATGGGATCCCCTGAACCCCCGGAGAGAACTCCGAGAGATCCGAGGCATCCCCTAAACCCCGGTGGTGACTCCTGGGGGTTCTGAGGGCTCTCTGAAGGCCTCGGGGCCATCCCAGAAACCCCCCAATCCTGTCCTGCCCCCCCCAACCAGGGCTGTGCGTGGCCGACCCCTACGAGATCACGGTGAGGAAGGATTTCTTCATCGACCTGCGCCTGCCCTACTCGGTGGTGAGGAACGAGCAGGTGGAGATCCGCGCCGTCCTCTACAACTACTGGCTCCAGGAGATCACCGTGAGTGGGGACCCCAACCCCGGGAGGGGGGGAAAGGGGAGGTTTGGGGTAGGCGGGGGGGTCTGTGGCCTCCTGGATCAGCCTGGAGAAGCTCCAAAGGAGGCCACGAGGAGGGGGGTGCTTTCTAAATTGGGATATCCCGAGATTTTGGAGCTCAGGGAATGTTTGGACCAGGGTCTCGGGGCCATGGTGGGATTTTGGGATCCTTGGGGCTCCCTTCCAAGTGAGGATAACCCATGATTTTAGAGCTCAAGGGGTGTTTGGATGAGGCTCTCAGGCACTTGGTGGGATTTTGGGATCCTCGTGGGTCCCTTCTAAATCAGGATATCCCAAAATTTTAGAACTCAGGGAATGTTTGGATGAGGCTCTCGGGGCCATGGTGGGATTTTGGGATCCTGGGGGCTCCCTTCCAACTGAGGATATCCCAAGATTTTAGAGCTCAGAGAATGTTTGGACGATGCCCTCAAGCACTTGGTGGGGTTTTGGGGCATCCTGGGCAGGGTCGGACCGGACGATCCTCGGGGGTCCCTTCCACCTCCGGGCATTCCATGACCCTGTGCTCTCCCTGTGCCCCCCCCTTGTGCCCCCCGTGCTCCCCCTGTGCCCCCCCTGTTCCCCCCGTCCCCTCCCTGTGCCCCCCAGGTGCGGGTGGAGCTGGTTCACAACCCCGCCATGTGCGGCCCCTCCACGGCCAAGCAGCGCTTCCAGCAGATCCTGCGGATCAAGGCCGAGTCCTCCCGCACCGTGTCCTTCGTGCTCGTGCCCCTCCAGCTGGGGCTGCACGACGTCGAGGTCAAGGCGGCCGTCAGGGACCTGTTCGCGGGCGACGGCGTCAAGAAGAAGCTGCGGGTGGTGGTGAGTGGCCCCTCAGGGCACCGGGGATGTCCCCTGGGTGGTGGTGAGTGGCCCCTCGGGGGGTGGTGAGTGGCCCTCAGGTGGTGGTGAGTAGCCCTCAGGGGGTGGTGAGTAGCCCTCAGGAGGTGGTGAGTGGCCCTCAGGGCATGGTGAGTGGCCCCCGGGTGGTGGTGAGTGGCCCTCGGGGGGTGGTGAGTGGCCCTCGGGTGATGGTGAGTGGCCCTCGGGGGGTGAGTGGCCCTCAGGAGGTGGTTTGAGTGGCCCTCGGGGGAGTGGTGAGTGGCCTCGGGGGTCGGGTGTGAGTGGCCCCCTCGGGATGGTGGTGAGAGTGGCCCTCGGGGGGGGGGGCTGAGTGCCCTGGGTGATGGTGAGTGGCCCCCTCAGTGGGTGGTGCGTGCCCTCGGGGGGTGGTTTGAGTGGCCCTCGGGATGATGGTGAGTGGCCCTCGGGGGGTGCGTGGCCCTCAGAGGTGGTGAGGTGGCCCTCGGCGTGGGTGGTGAGTGGCCCTCAGGACGGTGTTGAGTGGCCTCGGGGGTGGTGAGGGCCCTCGGGGGGTGGTGAGTGGGCCCTCGGGTGATGGTGCGTGGCCCTCGGGGGGGATGTGAGGGCCCTTCAGGTGGTGGTGAGTGGCCCTCGGGTGGGTGGTGAGTGGCCCTCGGGGGTTGGTGAGTGGCCCTCGGGTGATGGTGATTGCCCCTTGGGTGATGGTGAGTGGCCCTTGGGTGGTGGTAAGTTGCCCTCAGGGCGGTGGGAGTGGCCCCTAGGGGGTGGTGGTGAGTGGCCCTCTGGGGTGGTGAGTGGCCCTCGGGTGGTGGTGAGTGGCCCTCAGGCGTGGGTGCGTGGCCCTCGTGGGGTGATGAGTGGCCCTCAGGGGGTGGTGAGTGGCCGGGTGGTGGTGCTGGCCTTGGGTGGTGGTGAGTGGCCCTCAGGGGGTGGTGAGTGGCCCCCGGGTGGTGGTGAGTGGCCCTTGGGTGGTGGTGAGTGGCCCTCAGGTGATGGTGAGTGGCCCCTGGGTGGTGGTGGTGGCCCTCAGGGCGTGGTGAGTGGCCCTCGGGTGATGGTGAGTGGCCCCTGGGTGGTGGTGGTGGCCCTCAGGGCGTGGTGAGTGGCCCTCGGGTGATGGTGAGTGGCCCTCGGGGCACCGGGGATGCCCCTCAGGTGCCCCCAAAGCACGGGGACGTCGCCTCAGTTGCCCCTGGGCCGGAATTGGCAGCCGGGGGAGGAGGATTGTCCTCCTGGGGAGGTGCCGGACCTTGGGAGGACTTCTTGGGGCTTGAGGGGTCTTCTAAACCTTTGGAAGACTCCTTGGGGCTTGAGGGATCCCCTAAACCTTGGGAGGACTCCAAGACATTAAAGGGATCCCCTAAACCTTGGGAGGACTCCTTGGGGCTCAAAGGATCCCCTAAACCTTGGGAGGACTCCTTGGGGCTTGAGGGATCCCCGAAACCTTGGGAAGACTCCCTGGGGCTCGAAGGATCCCCTAAACCTTGGGAGGACTCCTTGAGGCTTGAGGGATCCCCGAAACCTTGGGAGGACTCCAAGACATTAAAGGGATCCCCGAAACCTTGGGAGGACTCCTTGGGGCTCGAAGGATCCCCTAAACCTTGGGAAGACTCCTTGAGGCTTGAGGGATCCCCGAAACCTTGGGAGGACTCCAAGACATTAAAGGGATCCCCTAAACCTTGGGAGGACTCCTTGGGGCTTGAGGGATCCCCTAAACCTTGGGAGGACTCCCTGGGGCTCGAGGGATCCCCAAAACCTTGGGAGGTCTCTGAGACATGTTGAGGGACAGGGGACACCCTAAACCGGGATGCCACACGCCCTGGGGGTGCTGGCCTGTACTGGGACACCTTTCCTAGACAACCCAGAGGGGCTGGGAAGGGGGGACCCCAAAACCAGCCCCACTGATGGTTTTTTGGATCCACCCTGGGCAGCCCGAGGGGATGAGGCTGGAGAAGACGGTGAAGATCATCGAGCTGGACCCGCAGAACAAGGGAGTCAGTGAGTGACCGGGGTGGCCCCAACCCCAAAGGGGGGTCCAGCGAGGGAGGGACCCCCAGGACAAGGGGTCGGACCCCTGTGGGGGTGGGGCATCCTGGGGGATGGAGGATGTGCCCCCAAGGGCAGATTTGGGGCATCCTGGGGGACAAGGGAAGTCCCACTGTGGGTCTGGGACATCTTGGGGTCAAGGGAAGCTCCATTGTGGGTCTGGGGTGTCTTGATGGACAAGGGAAGCCCCACTGTGGGTCTGGAACATTTTGGGGGACAAGAGAAGTCCCACTGTGGGTCTGGGGTGTCTTGGAGGACAAGGGAAGCCCCACTGTGGGTCTGGGACATTTTGGGGGATAAGGGAAGCCCCACTGTGGGTCTGGGACATCTTGGGGTCAAGGGACACCCCACCATGGAATTGGGGCATCTCAAGGGAGAAGGGACATCCTGGAGTGGCTCTTGAAGGTCTTGAGGGCCCAGGGACATCCTGGGGCAGGGCCGGGTCACCTCGGGGCTTGGGGACAAGAAGGATTTGGGATCACCCCGCTCTGCCCCACAGATGGGGTGCAGGAGGAGCGGGTGAAGGCGGCCGATCTCTCCGACATCGTCCCCGACACCGAACCCGAGACCAAAGTCAGCGTCCAGGGTGAGCTCCGGGCTGGGGACACCCCCGGGGACATCCTGGGGGGTGGGAGGGGAGGGGACACCCCCGGGGACATCCTGGGGGGTGGGAGGGGAGGGGACACCCAGTGGGGTGGGAAGGGACACCCCCAGGGATACCCTGTGGGGTGGGAGGGGACACCCCCAGGGACACCCTGTGGGGTGGGAGGGGACACCCCCAGGGACACCCTGTGGGGTGGGAGAGGAGGGGACACCTCCGGGGTCATCCTGTGGGGTTGGAGGGGATGTCACCGGGGACACCCTGTAGGGTGGGAGGGGAGGGAACCCCCCAGCCTGATGGGCCCCCTGGCCATGGCACAGGGAACCCCGTGTCCATCCTGGTGGAGAAGGCCATCGACGGGGACAAGCTGAAGCACCTGATCACGGTGCCGTCGGGCTGCGGGGAGCAGAACATGATCGCCCTGACCCCCACCGTCATCGCCACCCACTACCTGGACAACACCGAGCAGTGGGAGAGCTTCGGGCTGGACCGCAGGGCCAACGCCATCGAGCTCATCAGGAAGGGTGGGGACAGGGGGACATCCCCACGGGGGCGGGGACGTGGGGACATCCCCCCAGGGAGTGGGGACATGGGGACATACCCCCGGGGGGCGGGGATGACCCCAAAGGGTGGGAATGTCCTCTAAGAATGGGAACGTCCTCCCATGGTGGGAACGTCCTCCAAGGGTGGGAACGTCCTCCAAGGGTGGGAACGTCCTCCAAGGGTGTGGGAATACCCTACAGGGGTGTGGGAATACTCTACAAGGGTGTAGGAACACCCTACAAGGGTGTGGGAACATCCTTAAAAGGGTGAGTGGGAACGTCCCCAAAGGGGTGGGAACATCCCCAAAATGGTGGGTGGGAACATCCCCCAAAGGGTAGGAACATTCCCAGAGGGTGGGTGGGAATATCCTCCAAGGGTGTGGGAACAACCCCGAGAGGTGGGAACAACCCCCAAAAGGTGAGAACATTCCCAAAGGATGGGTGGGAGCCTCCCCTAAAGGATCAGAACATCCCCCAAAGGCGTGGGTGGAAGTTTCTTGTGTTGGCCAATACTTGGAGGGCGTTGGTGGCCTAAAACCCACCCCTGAGTGTTCCTTGTCTTGGCCAGAACTCAGAGAGTGTTGGTGGCCTGAAGTCACCCCCGGGCTCTCCTTGTGTTGGCCAATGGTCGAAGAGTGTTTGTGGCCTAAAACCACCCTTGGGTGCCCCTTGTGTTGGCCAATGTTTGTAGAACTTTGGTGGCCTAAAACCACCCTTGGGTGCCCCTTGTGTTGGCCAACTTTTGTAGAACTTTGGTGACCTGAAGCCCCCCTTGGGTGCCCCTTGTGTTGGCCAACTTTTGTAGAACTTTGGTGACCTGAAGCCCCCCTTGGGTGCCCCTTGTGTTGGCCAACGTTTGCAGAACGTCGGTGGCCTGAAGCCACTCCCTGTTGCTCCTCGTGTTGGCCAATGATTGACTGGAAGACGTTGATGGCCTGAAACCACCCTTGTGTTGGCCAACACCTGCAGGGCGTCAGTGGCCTGACCACGCCCCTGACCCACCCCCCGTCCCCTCCCCAGGTTACGTCCAACAATTGGCCTTCAAGAAACCCGACAACTCCTACGCCGCCTTCATCGGCCGCCCCTCCAGCACCTGGTGAGGGAGAGGGGCCATCAACACCCCCCCCGGGGCTGGGTGATATGGGACATGGGGGTCACCTCCCCAGGCCTGGGAATCCCAAACATCCCTCCCCAAACCAGGGAACCCCAAACATCCTTCTCCAAACCAGGGAATCCCAAACATCCCTCCCCAAACCAGGGAACCCCGAACATCCCTCTCCAAACCAGGGAATCCCAAACATCCCTCCCCAAAACAGGGAATCCCAAACATCCCTCCCCAAACTAGGGAACCCCGAACATCCTTCTCCAAACCAGGGAATCCCAAACATCCCTCCCCAATCCAGGGAATCCCAAACATCCCTCCCCAAACCAGGGAACCCCGAACATCCTTCTCCAAACCAGGGAATCCCAAACATCCCTCCCCAAACCAGGGAACCCCGAACATCCCTCTCCAAACCAGGGAATCCCAAACATCCCTCCCCAAACCAGGGAACCCCGAACATCCTTCTCCAAACCAGGGAATCCCAAACATCCCTCCCCAAACCAGGGAATCCCAAACATCCCTCCCCAAACTAGGGAACCCCGAACATCCTTCTCCAAACCAGGGAATCCCAAACATCCCTCCCCAAACCAGGGAATCCCAAACATCCCTCCCCAAACTAGGGAACCCCGAACATCCTTCTCCAAACCAGGGAACCCCGAACATGCTTCTCCAAACCAGGGAATCCCAAACATCCCTCCCCAAACCAGGGAACCCCGAACATCCTTCTCCAAACCAGGGAATCCCAAACATCCCTCCCAACCAGGGAATCCCAAACATCCCTCCCCAAAACCGGGAAACCCCAACATCCTTCTCCAACCAGGGAATCCCCAAACATCCCTCCCCAAACACCAGGGAACCCCGAACATCCTTCTCCAAACCAGGGAATCCCAAACATCCCTCCCCAAACCAGGGAATCCCAAACATCCCTCCCCAAACCAGGGAATCCCAAACATCCCTCCCCAAACCAGGGAATCCCAAACATCCCTCCCCAAACCGGAACCCCGAACATCCTTCTCCAAACCAGGGAATCCCAAACATCCCTCCCCAAACCAGGGAACCCCGAACATCCTTCTCCAAACCAGGGAATCCCAAACATCCCTCCCCAATCCAGGGAATCCCAAACATCCCTCCCCAATCCGGGAAATCCCAAACATCCCTCCCCAATCCGGGAAATCCCAAACATCCCTCCCCAAACCAGGGAATCCCAAACATCCCTCCCCAAACCCAGGACCCCCAAACATTGGGAGGTCACCCCCATGACCCTCCCCGTCCCCAGGCTGACCGCCTACGTGGCCAAAGTGTTCTCCATGGCCCGGAAGTTGACGGACATCGAGCCCGAGGTCATTTGTGGGGCCGTCAAGTGGCTCATCCTCAACAAGCAGAAGCCGGACGGGATCTTCCAGGAGGACGCTCCCGTCATCCACCAGGAGATGATTGTAGGGGGGGGGACACCAACCCCAGGGGCCTGCTCGGCATTCTGGGGCTTGGGGAGGGATGGTTTGGGTTCCCTGGTTTGGGGAGGGATAATTGGGATTCCCTGGTTTGGGGAGGGATGGTTTGGGTTCCCTGGTTTGGGGAGGGATAATTGGGATTCCCTGGTTTGGGGAGGGATGGTTTGGGTTCCCTGGTTTGGGGAGGGATGTTTGGGATGAGCTGTTGGGGTGGAAGGATCTTCCTGGGTGATGGGACATCGGGGAGAAGGGTGGGGACATTGGGGACAGGGAGGGGAATGGGGAGGACATTGGGGACATCAGGGGATGGGGAGGGGAACAGGGAGAGGTCCTGCCAGGCCCCCCCCCGATGCTGAGGTGTGTCCTTGTCCCATATCCCATGTCCTGTGTCCCATGTCCCATATCCCATGTCCCATGTCCTGTATCCCGTGTCCCATATCCCATGTCCCATGTCCTGTATCCCGTGTCCCATGTCCCATGTCCCATATCCCATATCCCATATTCCCATGTCCCATATCCCATATCCCATGTCCCATATCCCATGTCCCATGTCCCGTGTCCCATATCCCGTGTCCCATATCCCGTGTCCCATATCCCATGTCCCATATCCCATATCCCATGTCCCATATCCAATGTCCCATATCCCATGTCCCATATCCCGTGTCCCATATCCCATGTCCCATATCCCATATCCAATGTCCCATATCCCATGTCCCATATCCCATGTCCCATATCCCATGTCCAATGTCCCATATCCCATATCCCATGTCCCATATCCCATATCCAATGTCCCATATCCCATGTCCCATATCCCATGTCCCATATCCCGTGTCCCATGTCCCATATCCCATATCCCATGTCCCATATCCCGTGTCCCGTGTCCCGTGTCCCATATCCCATGTCCCATATCCCATGTCCCATATCCAATGTCCCATATCCCATGTCCCATATCCCGTGTCCCATGTCCCATATCCCATGTCCCATATCCCGTGTCCCATATCCCATGTCCCATATCCCATATCCCATGTCCCATATCCAATGTCCCATATCCCATGTCCCATATCCCGTGTCCCATATCCCATATCCCATATCCCATGTCCCATATCCCGTGTCCCATGTCCCATATCCCGTGTCCCATATCCCATATCCCATATCCCATGTCCCATATCCCATGTCCCATATCCCATATCCCGTGTCCAATGTCCCGTGTCCTGCCCCACAGGGGGGTTACAAGGGGGCCGAGCCCGAGGTGTCCCTCACCGCCTTCGTCCTCGTGGCGCTGGAGGAGGCCCGGGAGGTCTGCAAGGAGCACGTGAACGTGAGTGACCCCCTCAGGTGACCCCCCCCCCGGCCCCTCCTCCTGGTCGGGGCCACCTGAGGACCCCAACCGTGTGTCCCCCGTGCCCAGAACCTGGACTGGAGCATCAACAAGGCCGCCGAGTTCCTGGGCCGGCGCTACGAGCAGCTGGCCCGGCCCTACACGGTGGCCCTGAGCTCCTACGCGCTGGCCCTGGCCGGCAAGCTCAAGAGCGAGAAGGTCCTCATGAAGTTCTCCAAAGGTGACGCCTCAATTCGGGCCCCTTGGGAGCCAAATTTGGGGTGGCGGGAGGTGTTTGTGGGGTCCCTGGGGTGGAGGAGGTGGTTGTGGGGTCCCTGGTGCTGGGGAGGTGGTTTGGGGGTACTTGGGGCGGTTCTGGGGTCCCTGGTGAAGCTCAAGAGCGAGAAGGTCCTCATGAAGTTCTCCAAAGGTGACGCCTCCATTCGGGCCCTTCGGGAGCCAAATTTGGGGTGGGAGGAGGTGCTTATGGGGTCCCTGGACCCAGGAAGGTTTTTTGGGGGTCCTCTGGTGCCGGGAAGGTTTTTTGGAGGTCCCTGGTGCCAGGGAGGTGTTTTTGGGGTCCGTCATGCTGGGGGAGTGTTTGTGGGATCCCTGGCTGTGGGGAGGTGTTTTTGGGGTCCCTGGCTGTGGGGAGGTGTTTTTGGGGTCCCTGGCTATGGGGAGGTGTTTTGGGGGTCCCTGGCCCCAGGAATGTTTTTGGGGGGTCCCTCATGCAAGGGAGGTGTTTTTGGGGTCCCTGATGTAGGAGGAGGTGTTTGTGGGGTCCCTGGTGTGAGAGGAGGTGTTTGTGGGGTCCCTGGCTTCGGGGAGATGTTTCTGGGATCCCTGGCTTCGGGGAGGTGTTTTTGGGGTCCCTGGCGCCGGGGAGGAGCTGAGGGCCCCCCGCCTTCCCTCCAGGTGGGCAGAGCTGGGAGGAGCGGAACGCCCAGACCTACAACATCGAGGGCACGTCCTACGCGCTGCTGGCCCTGCTGCACATGAAGAAGCTGGAGCTGGCGAGGCCCGTGGTGCGCTGGCTCGCCCAGCAGAACTACTTTGGGGGCGGCTACGGCTCCACCCAGGTGGGCTACGGAGCCCCCGGCACCCGGGGGTGGTTCTGGGGTCCCCGGTGAAGCTCCGAGGTGGAGCCTCAGAATTGGGGTTGGGGAGGCGGTTCTGGGGTCCCCGGTGAAGCTCTGAGGTGGAGCCTCACCCGGGGATCAGAATTGGGGTCAGGGAGGGGGTTCTGGGGTCCCTGGTGAAGCTCAACAGGGTCCTCGTGAGGTTCTCCAAAGGTGGCACCCGGGGACACATCCTGGCCTTGTGGCCCCTGGGGGACACCTCCTGTCCCGGGGGACACCTCCTGTCCCTGTGTCCCCTTGGGGACACATCCTATCCTTGGGGACATCTCTGGCTCCTGGGGACCCTCAGGGACACTTCTGGGCCATGTGATCCTTTGGGGACACCTCCTGTCCCTGGAGGACACCCCTGGTCCCTGCGGCCCCTTGGGGACACCTCCTGTCCCTGGGGACACATTCTGTCCTTGTGGCCCCTTGGGGACACCTTCTATCCCTGGGGGACACCCCTGGTTCCTGTGATCCTTTGGGGACACCTCCAGTCCCTGGGGACACCTCTGGTCCCTGTGATCCTTTGGGGACACCTCCAGTCCCTGGGGACACCTCTGGTCCCTGTGATCCTTTGGGGACACCTCCAGTCCCTGGGGACACCTCCTGTCCCTGGAGGACACCAGGACCCCCCCAAGGGTCCCCTCCAGGTGCCCCCAGGACACCCCAGAACATCCGTGGGGCCACCCCACCCTTGAGGCCACCGGGGGGGGGGGGGCTTCGGGGCTGCCCCAGGCGGTGTCCCTGAGCCCTGGTGACACGGGGGTGTCCCCGCAGGCCACCATCCTGGTGTTCCAGGCGCTGGCCCACTACCAAACGGTGGCTCAGAAGGAGCTGGAGCTCAACCTGGACGTGTCAGTGCTGCTGCCGCGCCGGGCCAGCCCCGTCAAATACCGCATCGACAACCGCAACGCGCTGGTGGCACGGTCTGCTGAGGTACCTGGCACTGGCACCTGTCACCCTGTCACCTGTCACCCTGTCTCCGTTACCCTATCTCTGTCACCCTGTCACCTGTCACCCTGTCTCTGTTACCCTGTCACCTGTCACCCTGTCTCTGTTACCCTATCTCTGTCACCCTGTCACCTGTCGCCCTGTCACCTGTCGCCCTGTCACCTGTCACCCTGTCACCCTGTCTCTGTCACCCTGTCTCTGTCACCCTGTCACCTGTCACCCTGTCACCTGTCACCCTGTCTCTGTCACCCTGTCTCTGTCACCCTGTCACCCTGTCCCTGTCACTCTGTCACCCTGTCCCTGTCACCTGTCCCTGTCCCCTCTGGGCCAGCCCCGTCAAATACCGCATCGACAACCGCAACGCGCTGGTGGCACGGTCTGCTGAGGTACCTGGCACTGGCACCTGTCACCCTGTCACCCTGTCCCTGTCACCTGTCGCTCTGTCACCCTGTCCCTGTCACCCCGTCACCCCCTTGCTGTGACCTGCAGTGTCCCTGTCATCTTCATGTCCTCCCTGTCCCCTCCCTGTCCCCTCCGTGTCCCCTCCATGTCCTCCAACACCCCTGTCCCCTCCGTGTCCCGCCACGCTGTCGTCCCCTCCCTGTCCCTGTCCCTTCTCTGTCCCCTCCACAGTCCCTGTCCCCCCCAACGGTCCCTGTCCCCACAGACCAAGGTGAACGAGGACTTCACGGTGAAGGCCGAGGGGGTTGGCAAGGGGACAATGACAGTCGTGACCGTCTACAACGCCAAGGTCCCCGACAAGGACGACAAGTGCGACAACTTCGACCTGAGCGTGCAGGTGGAGGAGGTGGCGGCGGGTCAGTGTCCCCAGCGTGTCCCCAACGTGTCCCCAACGTGTCCCCAAAGTGTGGTGCCCCCCGTGCCCCCCCCGATGTTCCCTCACCGTCCCCGTGTCCCCGCGCAGGCAAAGAGGAGGAGGACGTCATCAGCTCCATCAAGATCACCGTCTGCGCCAGGTTGGGGACCTTGGGGACAGCGGGGGGGCTGGGGACGTCGGGGACATCGGGGCCAGGGAAGGGGGTGGCAGGGGAGGGGCATCGGGGAGAAGGGACATCGGGGACGCTGGGGACAGCAGGGATGTTGGGGACAGGGACAGCGGGGAAAAGGAGGGGGACGTTGGGGACATCAGGGGACACTGGGGACAGGGAGGGGACAAGGAGGGGACAGGGAGGGGACAGGGAGGGGAGGAACATCGGGGACATCAGGGGACACTGAGGACAGGGAGGGGGATGGCAGGGGAGGGACATCAGGGAGAAGGATGGGGACACTGGGGACAGGGAGGGGATATGGAGGACATTGGGGATGTTGGGGACAGGGAGGGGAATGGGGATATTGGGGACAGGAACATCAGAGGACAGGGAGGACATGGGGGACAGGGAGGGGAGTGGGGACACTGGGGAGAGGGACATCAGGGTAAAGGATGGGGACACTGGGGACAAACAGGGACGTTGGGCACAGGGAGGGGGATGAGGACGTTGAGGACAGGGAGGGGACAGGGAGGACATTGGGGTCAGGGAGAGGAATGGGGACATTGGGGACAGGGAGGGGACAGGGAGGACATTGGGGACGTTGGGGACAGGGAGAGGGCAGGGAGGACATTGGGCACAGGGAGGGGAATGGGGACACTGGGGAGAGGGACATCAATGGTCAAGGATTGGGATGCTGGGGACAGGGATGGGGCAGGGAGGACATTGGGGACATTGGGGACAGGAAGGGGAACTGGAGTACTGGGGACAGGGACATCAGGGACAAGGACGGGGACACTGGGGACAAACAGGGCTCAGCCCCACCTTGTCTCAGAGGGATCCTTGGGGACAGGGACATCAGAGCAGGGGACTGTGGGGACAGTGGGGGGGTTGGGGACAGGCGGGTGGCCTCAACCCTGTCCCCGCAGGCACCTGGGTGACGTGGACGCCACCATGTCCATCCTGGACGTGTCCATGCTGACCGGCTTCACCCCCGACCTGCAGGACCTCAAGAGGGTCAGTGTGGGGACACAGGGGGACATGGGGGGGACAAGGGGACATGTCCTCGGTGTGATGATGTCCCTGGGTGTCCCTGGGTGTCCCCGTGTCCCCGGTGTGACAGTGTCCCTGTCCCCAGCTCTCGGAGGGGGTGGACAGGTACATCTCCAAGTTCGAGCTCGACCAGGCGCAGTCGGAGCGGAGCAACGTCGTCATTTACCTGGACAAGGTGGGGACAGGGAGGGGACAGGGAGGGGACAGGGAGGGGACAGGATGGGATGGGGAGAGGGACAAGGATGGGACAGGGATGGGGACAGGGATGGGGACGTGAGGGGACAGGGATGGGAAAAGGGACAAGATGAGACAGGGATGGGGACATGAGAGGACATGTCCCTGTGTCCCCATGTCCTCATTTCCCCGTGTCCCCATGTCCCTGTGCCCTCATATCCCTGTGTCCCCATGTCCCCCCATGTGTCCCCATGTGTCCCCATGTCCCCATGTGTCCCCATGTCCCCAGATCTCCCACCGGGCCGAGGAGTGTTTTGCCTTCAAGGCCCACCAGCGGTTCCAGGTTGGGCTCATCCAGCCCGCGGCCGTCACCATCTACAGCTACTACAAGATCGGTGTGTCCCCCGTCCCCTCATGTCCCCTGGGCCACCCTCGGGTCCCCCCCATCCCCTCATGTCCCCCGGGCCACCCTCGGGTCCCCCCCATCCCCTCATGTCCCCCGGTGTCCCCACAGACGACCGGTGCACGCGGTTCTACCACCCAGACAAGGAGGGCGGGAAGCTGAGCAAGATCTGCCAGGGGGACGTGTGTCGCTGCGCCGAAGGTGACACGGGGACACGGGGACACGGGGGTGGGACAGCAGCGCTGTGGTGATGGGACATGTCATGGCTGTGATGGTACACGGCATTGACAAGGTGTCACATGTCACGGCTGTGACGGGGACACGTCCCTGCCATGGTGGGACAGGTCATTGCTGTGGTGGGGACATGTTGTGGTCGTGATGGGGACACGTTGTGGTCACGATGGGACACATCTCTGCCATGGTGGGACATGTCCCTGCTGTGGTGGGGACACAGCATTGACAAGGTGTCACATGTCATGGCTGTGATGGGGACATGTCGTGGTCATGATGGGACATGTCCCTGCCATGGTGGGACATGTCGTGGTCATGATGGGACATGTCCCTGCCATGGTGGGACATGTCATTGCCATGATGGGACACGGCATTGACAAGGTGTCACGTGTCACAGCTGTGATGGGGACACATCCCTACCATGGTGGGATATGTCCCTGTCGTGGTGGGACCTGTCACTGCCACACCAGCCCTTGTCACCTCTGTGTCCCCGTGTCCCCACAGAAAACTGTTTCCAGCGGCGGGACCAGGACGAGCCCATCACCGTCGAGCAGCGGATCCAGCGTGCCTGCGAGCCAGGGGTGGACTACGGTGGGACAGGGGGACACTGGGGACATCGGGGACACTGGGGACATCAGGGACATTGGGGACATTGGAGACACTAGGGATATCAAAGACATTGGGGACATTAGGAGACATTGGGGACATTGGGGACATCAGGTCATGAAAGGATAAGGGGGGATGTGGGGTCATGGAGGGGGGCACAGAGGGGACATTGGGGGACACTGGGGACAAATGGGGGGGCATTGGGGACATCGAGGATGTTGGAGACATCGGGGTCATTGGGGGGGGATATTGGGGACATTGGGGACATTGGGGGACATTGGGGATATCAGAGACATCAGGGACATCGGGGACACTAAGGATATCAAAGACATTTTGGACATTGGGGGACATTGGGGACATTGGGGACATCAGGTCATGGAAGGACAAGGGGGGATGTGGGGTCGTGGAGGGAGGACTCGGGGCACGGGGGGGGGGGACACGAAGGACGTGGGTGGGGACAGGTGGGGCCATAGAAGGGACAGGGGGGGACGGGGGGGGGGACCCGGGGACATCGAGGGTCCCCCGGCGGGGGGGTGACGCCGCCGTGTCCCCTCCCCAGTGTACAAGGTGCGCTTGGTGGCCGTGGAGGAGACGCCGTCCCACGACAACTACGTCATGAACGTCCTGGCCGTCATCAAGATGGGTGCGACCACTGCGGGGGGACAGCGGGGTCACCGGGGGGGACCCGGGGGGACAACGGGGTCATCGGGGGACAGGGGGGTCACCTGGTGCTGGGGACACCCGGAGGGACAGCGGGATCACCGGGAGACAGCTGGGGGGAGAGGGGCATCACTTGGGGTCACCCGAGGGGACAGGGGTGTCACCTGGCACTGGGGACACCCGGGGGGACAGGGGTGTCACCTGGGGACACCCGGGGGGACAGGGGTGTCACCTGATGCTGGGGACATCCAGGGGGACAGCAGCGTCACCTGGCGCTGGGGACACCCACATGACATCAGCCACGTGGGCTGGGGTCACCTGGGGGGCCTGGGGTCACCCGGCAGCGCGGGGGGGGGACACCTGTGGGGAGGGGACATCGAGGGAGGTTGGGGACACCCCGGTGGGTTGGTGTCACCCAGGTGGGTTGTTGTCACCCAAGGGTGCTGGGGACACCCCGGTGGGTTGGGTGCCACCACGGCAGAGACCCTGCTGAGGGGGAATCCCACATCCCCTGGGTGTCCCTGTGGCACCAGGGCACAGGTGACAGGGTGACACATCCCCTGGGTGTCCCTGTGGCACCAGGGCACAGGTGACAGGGTGACACGTCCCCTGGGTGTCCCTGTGGCACCGGGGCACAGGTGACAGGGTGACACATCCCCTGGGTGTCCCTGTGACACCAGGGTGGTGGTGACAGGGTGACACATCCCCTGGGTGTCCCTGTGGCACCGGGGTGGTGGTGACACGGTGACACATCCCCTGGGTGTCCCTGTGGCACCAGGGCACAGGTGACAGGGTGACACATCCCCTGGGTGTCCCTGTGGCACCAGGGTGGTGGTGACAGGGTGACACATCCCCTGGGTGTCCCTGTGGCACCAGGGCACAGGTGACAGGGTGACACGTCCCCTGGGTGTCCCTGTGGCACCGGGGTGGTGGTGACAGGGTGACACATCCCCTGGGTGTCCCTGTGGCACCGGGGTGATGGTGACAGGGTGACACATCCCCTGGGTGTCCCTGTGACACCAGGGTGGTGGTGACAGGGTGACACATCCCCTGGGTGTCCCTGTGACACCAGGGTGGTGGTGACAGGGTGACACATCCCCTGGGTGTCCCTGTAGCACTGGAGTGCAGGTGACACATCCCCTGGGTGTCCCTGTGGCACCGGGGTGGCAGTGACGGGGTGACACGTCCCCTGGGTGTCCCTGTGGCACCGGAGTGCAGGTGACAGGGTGACACATCCCCTGGGTGTCCCTGTGGCACTGGAGTGCAGGTGACACGTCCCCTGGGTGTCCCTGTGGCACCGGGGCACAGGTGATGGGGTGACACGTCCCCTGAGTGTCCCCTCCTGCCCCAGGCACCGACGAGGACCCGGCGGGCAGCAACAGGACCTTCGTGAGCCACCGGCAGTGTCGCGACGCCCTGAAGCTCGAGCGCGGGCAGGACTACCTGCTCTGGGGGCTGGGCAGCGACCTCTGGGCCACCGGCAGGCAGTAGGGACACGGGGACACCGGGGACGGGGGGACGGGGGGACAGGGGACACGGGAGGGGACGTGGGTGGGACCTGTGGGGACATGGGAGTGGAGGAAGGGGGGACAGGGGGACATGGGGGCAGGGGCACGAGGACATAGGGGGGACACCGGGGATGGGGGGACATGGGGACAGTGGGGACAGGGGGACATGGGGACAGGGGGAGATGGGGACAGGGGACACGGGGGGACATCGGGGACGGGCGGACACGGGACGGGGGGGGGACATGGGAGGGGACGTGGGTGGGGTCGGGGGGGACATGGGAATGGGGGAACAGGGGATGGGGGGATGTAGGGGGACAGGGGACGTGGGGACATGGGGACGTGGGGACATGGGGATATGGGGACAGGGGACATGGGAGGACATCGGCAATGGGGGGACAGGGTGCGTGGGGACGTGGGTGGGGCCGGGGGGACATGGGAATGGAGGAATGTGGGACAGGGGGGATGTAGGGGGACAGGGGGACACCGGGGATGGGGGGACATGGAGACAGTGGGGGCATGGGAGGGGACGTGGATGGGGCCTGTGGGGACATGGGAGTGGAGGAATGTGGGACAGGGGGGATGTAGGGGGGACATCGGGGATGGGGGGACACCGGGGATGGGGGAACATGGGGACAGTGGGGATATGGGGACAGGGGACACGCGGGGACACAGGGGACGGGGGGACAGGGGACAGTGGGGGCATGGGAGGGGACGTGGGGGGGGGCCGACGGGGACATGGGAATGGAGGAACTGGGGACAGGGGGACATGGGGACACGGGGGAACATCGGGGACGGGCAGACAGGGGACGGGGGAACACGGGAGGGGACGTGGGTGGGGGCAGGAGGGACACGAGAATGGAGGAACGGGGGACACGGGGGGATGTAGGGGGACAGGGGAGACAGGGGACAGGGGGACACCAGGGATGGGGGGACAGGGGGACAGTGGGGACATGGGAGGGGACGTGGGTGGGGCCTGTGGGGACATGGGAATGGAGGAACGGGGGACAGGGGACACGGGGGGACATCGGGGATGGGGGACATGGGGACGGGTGGACAGGGGACGGGGGGGGGGGGGCACATGGGAGGGGACCTGGGTAGGGCCTGTGGGGACACGGGAATGGAGGAACAGGGGACGGGAGGACATGGGGACAGTGGGGACATGGGGTAATGCCGGAGACGGGGGCACAGGGGACATGGGGATGTGGGGACAGTGGGGACAGGCGATTGTGGGCACACGCGTGGGGACACAGCTGGGGCTCGTGGGGACACGGGAACATGGGAACCTCGCCCGTGTCCCTGCGTGCCACCCCCCGTGACCGTGTCCCCGTTGTCCCCCGTGTCCCCCCCGTGTTCCCCTCGTGTCCCCCCGTGTCCCCCCCATGTCCCAGCTTCTCGTACCTCATCGGGAAGGACACGTGGTTGGAGCGCTGGCCCTCGGAGGGGCAGTGCCAGGACCCCGAGCTCCAGCCCCTCTGCCAGGACTTCGTCCAGTTCTCCGAGGCCATGACCCTGTTCGGGTGCCCCACCTGAGCGCCCACCCCCCGCCCAGGGGTGCCCCCCGGATCCCCCCCGCCCCCCGCCCCCTCCTCCCTCTTTTTTTGGTTAAAAAAGTCCTTTCTGAGAGCCGGACTCGGGATTTCCTGGGGGGGGGGAGGAGGAGGGGGACACGTGTGGGGGTTGTTGGGACGCTGTAAGGGACACCAGAGGGGACACTGGTGGGGTGGGGTCGAGTCATCGTTGGGGTTGGGGGGACTTTGTAGGGGACAAAGGGGTTGGGGGGGGGGTTCCATAAGGGATGATGAGGTCATGGGGACACCCCAGGGGATGTGGGGACACAATAGAGGTTGTGGGGACACCATAGAGGACAAGGGCACACCATAGGGGACATGGGGACAGCCCAGGGGACATGAGGACACCACAGGGGACATGGGGACACCATAGGGGATATGGGGACACCCCAGGGGACATGGGAACACCATAGAGGTCATGGGGATGCCATAGGGGACATGGGGACACCGTAGAGGTCATGGAGACACCATAGAGGTCATGGAGACACCATAGGGGCCATGGGGACACCATAGGGGACAAGGGGACTTTGTAGGGGACAGAGGGGTAGTGGGGGGGTCCATAGGGGCTGATGGGGCCATGGGGACACCATGGGGGACAAGGGGACTTTGTAGGGGACAAGGGGGCAGTGGGGGCTCTTTAGAGGTTGATGGGGGTGGATGGGGCTGCACATCCCGGGGGCACAACCTGTGGGGCACAGTCAGCACATCCCTGGGGGCACAACCTGTGGGGCACAGTCAGCACACTCTTAGGGGTACAGCCCTGGGTGCTGCACACCCTGGGGTGCACGAGGGTGCTCAGATTTGATGCAGGGGCTGGATGGGGCTGCACAGCCTTGGGGGCACAACCTGTGGGGCGCAGTCACCACATACCTGGGGGTACAACCTGTGGGGCACATCCAGCACATCCCGGGGGCACAACGTGTGGGGCACAGTCTGCGCGTCCTGGGGGTACAGCCCGGGGTGCTCGGATCTGCTCGGATCCAGTGCAGGGTCAGGATGGGGCTGCACATCCCGGGGCGCTCGGGGCTGCTTGAATCCGGTGCAGGGGTAGGATGGGGCTGCACATCCTGGGGACACAGCCTGAAGTGCTCGGGGCTGCTTGGATTTGGTGCAGGGGCAGGATGAGGCTGCACATCCTCCTCTTGCCGCACAAACCACGCACGGTGCACAGTCAGCGCATCCTGGGTGCTGCACAACCCTCAGTGCACAGCCCTCAGCACACAACCCCCAGTGCACAGCCCTCAGTGCTGCACAACCCTCGGTGCACAACCCTTGGTGCTGCACAGCCCCTCGTGCTCGCGGTGTCACACAGCCCTCAGTGCACAGCCCTCAGTGCACAGCCCTCGGTGCACAACCCCCAGTGCACAACCCTCAGTGCTGCACAGCCCTCGGTGCACAACCCTCGGTATCACACAACCCTCAGTGCACAACCCTCGGTGTCACACAACCCTCAGTGCACAACCCTCGGTGTCACACAACCCTCAGTGCACAACCCCCAGTGCACAGCCCTCGGTGCACAACCCTCAGTGCTGCACAACCCCTCGTGCTCGCGGTGTCACACAGCCCTCAGTGCACAGCCCTCGGTGCACAACCCTCGGTGTCACACAGCCCTTGGTGCTGCACAGCCCCCGTGCACAACCCCCAGTGCTGCATATCCTCCGTGCCGGCTGTTGCACAACCCTGGTTGCACAACTCTTGGTGCCCGGTCATGCCACACACTGCACCCCACACTCTCCATCCCACTCCCATCACCCCACATTCCACATCCCAATCCCAGCACCCCACACTGCACCCCACACTCAGCGCCCCAATCCCAGCACCCCACTCCCAGCATCTCACACTCTGCACCCCACACTCTGCACCCCACACTCAGCACCCCAATCCCAGCACCCCAATCTCAGCATCCCACACTGCACATCCCACTCCCAGCACCCCACACTCAGCACCCCAATCCCAGCACCCCACACTCACCACCCCACACTCACCACCCCACACTCTGCACCCCACACTCACCACCCCACACTCTGCACCCCACATTCCACATCCCACTCCCAGCACCCCACTCCCAGCACCCCAAACTCCACATCCCACACTCTCCACCCCACTCCCAGCATCCTGCACTCAACACCCCAATCCCAACACCCCACACTGCACCCCACACTCTACACCCCACACTCACCATCCCACACCCCACACCGCACACTCCGCACCCCACTCCCAGCACTCCCCAGTGTCATCCCCCCCCACAGTGTCACCCCCCGGTGTCACCCCCCCAGTGTCACCCCCCCCAGTGTCACTCCCCCCGGTGTCACCCCCCCAGTGTCACCCCCCCAGTGTCACCCCCCCGGTGTCACCCCCCCAGTGATCCACCCACCCCCCCAGTGTCACTCCCCCCGGTGTCACCCCCACAGTGTCACCCCCACAGTGTCACTCCCCCCGGTGTCACCCCACGTCCCGCCGCTTCCTGCGCTGGCCTCGCCCTGGGGACACGTGACACCCGGGAGTGTCCCCAAAGTGTCGCCCAGGACAGCGGTGCCCTGATGTCCCCGCAGCTGCAGTGGCCCTCCCTGGGCCTGGGGACACCTCCTCTGGTGGCCCTGGGGACACTGGTGACCCTCAAGGACATCCCCTGTCCCGGTGACACTCGTGGGGTCACTGATGTCCCCAACACCGCGGTGACACCTCCGCGGTCCCCAAGTGTCCCCACGGGGACAGGCCGGGGAGGGGGGAGGTGACACACACACACACACAGCGTTGGGGACACGGCGGGGTGACACAGAGACCCCCTGGGGACACCACAGTGGCACCGTGGGAACGCCGCGGCGCAGGGGACAAGCGCCGCGGTGGCACCGGCGACAGCGGGCGATGCCACATCCGCCACCCCCACCCCCCCCCGTCCTCCTCCGCGGTGTCCCCATGACGGGGGGAGCAGTCCAGGGGTGGCGACACGGGCGGGGTGACGTGTCCCCGTTTCCTCTGGGGACAAAAAGCGGGTCCCCGGGGGTGGCCGTGTGACACGGTGGTGGCCCATGGGGGACGGTGTGTTCGCCCTGGCGGGGCCGTGGCCACCGGTGCCACCCCCCCGGGCTGCTGCCACCCCCCCTGTCCCTTCGCGGCGGCGGTGGCGGGTCCGCGGGGAGGGGACCTGCGGGCGGTGGGTGTTGGGGACACTGGTGGCCCTGGCGCTGGTGGCCCTGGCCGTGCAGGCCTGGGTCCTGGCGGGGCTCCGAGGGGACCTGAACAAGGTGACAGAGCGGCTGCAGGTGAGAGGGGACACGGGGGGGACACGTGGAGGGGACACGGGGGCACGGAGACATGGTGGGGGACACGGGGGTGACACGGGGGGGGGGGCACGGGAACACAGGGGGGACACGGGGGGGGCACGAGGACGACACAGGGACACGAGGAGGGGACAGGGGGACACGGTGGGGGCACGGGGACAGGGGGAGGACATGGGGAGGACATGGGGACAAAGGGCGCCATGGGGGAATAGGGGGGGACAGGGGGACATGAAGGCGACACGGGGACATGCGGGGGACACGGAGAGGGTACGGGAACACCGGGGGGGGGGACATGGGGACACGGGGAGACCACGGGGACACGGGGGGGGACATGAGAGAAGTGTGGAGACATGGGGGGATATGGGGACACGGGGGGGTCACGGGGACACGAGGGGGTCACGGGGACACGAGGGGGACACGGGGACATGGGGGGACATAGGAGGGGTGTGGGGACATGGGGACACGTGGAGGGGACACGGGAACACGGGGGGGCACAGGGACACGGGGGGGGACATGGGGGGAACAGGGGGACACAGGGGAGACACGGGAACACAGGAGGGGCACAGGGACATGGGGGACACGTGTCCCCCCATGTCCCCTCGTGTCCCCTCATGTCCCCCTGTCCCCTGACCCGTGTGTCCCCACAGGCCAGGGAAGAGCAACCACTGTTGGAGAAGCTGCTGCAAGGTGGGTCCCCAAAAACGTGGGTGCCACCGCCCTGGGGATGTGGGTGTCCCCACCTTGGGGACATGGATGGCCCCACTTTGGGGACATGGGTGCCACCACCGTGGCAACATGGGTGCCACCATCTTGGGGACATGGGTGCCACCAGCCTGGGGATGTGAGTGGCCTCACCTTGGGGACATGGGCAGCACCACCCTGGGGATGTAGGTGGCCTTGGGACATTGGTGCCACCATCCTGGGGATGTGGGTGGCCTTACCCTGGGGACATGGGTGCCACCATCCTGGGGACATGGGTGCCACCACCCCGGGGACACTGACAGGAGCTGTGGTTCCCTTTGCAGAGCGAATCCCCCCTGAGAAACCAGCGGCTCATCTCATCGGTGAGGGGGGGACACCTGTCCCCAAAGGGGGGGGACACCAAGACACCTGTCCCCAAGGGGGGGGTGACACACACCTAGGAGGGGACAGTGACACTGACACCTTGTCCCCAACCTGGGGAGAAGGGTGACACAGACACCTGTCCCCAAGGAGGGGGTGACACAGACACCTGTCCCCAAGGAGGGGGGTGACACAGACACCTGGGAGGGGACAATGACACTGACGCCTTGTCCCCAACCTGGGGGGGGGTGTGACACTGACACCTGTCCCCAAGGAGGGGGGACACACACCTGGGAGGGGACAATGACACAGGTACCTTGTCCCCAAAGAGGAGGTGACAACTGACACCTTGTCCCCAACCTCGGGGGGGGGAAGGGGGGGTGACACAGACACCTGGGAGGGGACAGTGACACTGACGCCTTGTCCCCAACCTGGGGGGGTGTGACACTGACGCCTGTCCCCAAGAAGGGGGGACACCTGGACATCTGTCCCCAAGGGGAGGTGACACAGACACCGGGGAGGGGACAGTGACACACACACCTTGTCCCCAACAGGGGAGGAGGGGGTGGGAGGTGCTGGAAGTTTCCAAAGGGGGGGGGAGGGGCGGGTGGGGACCCCCCCCCCCGTGCCGAAATCCCTCCACGGGGGTGGGCAAGGGGGGAGTTCCATTTGGGAGGGAGGGGGAGGGACAGGTTCCTAAATGACTGGGTAACCCCATACACGGGGGGGGGGGAGGCTGAGAGATTTGGGGGGGGGGTCAGAGAAGGTTTGGGGGGGGGCAACACCCCAAATACCCAACTCACCTAAAGACAAGAGGGTCCCAGATGGATTGAGGGTGTCAGAGAAGGTCGGGGGGGGGGCGGGGTCAACACCCCAAAAATCCGGTCTCCCCTATAAACAGGAGGGTCCTGGATGGATTGGGGGGGTCAGAGAAGGTCTGGGAGGGGTCAGCACCCCAAAAACCTGGTCTCCCCTATAAACAGGAGGGTCCTGGGGGGGTCAGAGAAGGTCGGGGGGGGGTCAATACCCCAAATACCCAATCTAACCTATAAACAGGGGGGTGCTGGATGATTCTGGGGAGGGGTCAGTGATTTTTGGGAGGGCTCAGCACCCCAAACATCCGGTCCCTCTTATAAACAGGAGGGTGCTGGATGGTTTGGGGGAGAGTCAGTGATTTTTGGGAAGGGGGGGCTCAGCACCCCAAAAACCCGGTCCCCCCTATACACAGGAGGGTGCTGGATGGTTTGGGGAGGGTCAGTGATTTTTGGGAGGGCTCAGCACCCCAAACACCTTTCCCCCCCCCTACACACAGGAGCGCCCCACCACTTTTTAGGACCCTCCCCTTGACCCTCTCCCCCCCTTTCCCTCCCCTTTTCCCTCCCTTCCCTCTCCCTTCTCTCCCCGCAGCCGGCGCCGACCTCTCCTCGCAGCCCAACGGCTCCCTGCGCTGGGAATCCCGCAATTCCTGGGCTTTCCTGCGGGGTTTGGGATACCGGGGGGGTTCCCTGCTCTGCCGCCGGCCCGGCCTTTACTTCGTGTACGCGCAGGTTCACCTGAGCTCACCTGAGCTGCGCTCCTGCGCCCACGCCCTGCTCCGCATCCGCAAGCGCAGCCCCCGCTACCCCGAACCCCTCGACCTGCTGCTCAACAAAGGGATCCACTGCCCCCCCCCGGCCCCCCACGGGAGGGGGGGTCCCTGGGCCCGCAGCAGCTTTTTCGGGGGGCTGGTGGAGCTGGAGGAAGGGGACGAGGTGTTCGCGCAGGTCCAGGAGCCGCGGCTCGTGCGGGCGCTGGACGGGACGCGATCGTATTTCGGGATGTTCATGGTGTGATTTTAGGGGGGGGGGGGGGGGGGGGAGGGGGGGAGTTTGGGGGTGTCCCCCCCCACAGGGTCTCTGAGGGGCGGGATGGGGGTGGGGACGGGGTTTTTCAGGGGGTCGTGTAGGGTTGTGCATTGGGGAGGGTCACCTGGACCCCCCAAATCTGGACTTGGACCCCCCAAACCTGCACCTGGATGCCCCAAACCTGGACCTGGACCCCCCAGACCTGGACTTGGACCCCCCAAACCTGCACCTGGAGGCCCCAAACCTGGATCTGGATCCCCCAAATCTGGACCTGGACCCCCCCCAAACCTGGATCTGGACCCCCCAAACCTGGACCTGGATCCCCCAAACTGGGACTCTGATCCCCTGGATCCCCCTCTGGAAGCCTCTGGAGACCCCTTGGAGCACCCCCAAAATCTCTGAGGGGCAGGATTGGGGTGAGGAGGGGATTTCCCAGGGGGTTGTGGGGGATGGGGTGGTCACCTGGCCCCCCCAAAACTGGACCAGGACCCACCTGGACCCCCCAAACCAGAACTCTGATCCCCTGGATCCCCCTCTGGAAGCCTCTGGAGACCCCTTGGAGCACCCCCAAAAATCCCTGGAGCTCAGGACTGGGACGTGCTGTGGGTTCTCCAGGGGCTCGTACAGGGTTGTGCCCCCGGACCCCCCAAACCTGGACCCCCCAAACCTGGAATCCCCCCCCCCCCGGACCCCCCCGACCCTTCCCTGCAGGACCCCCAGGATGCCCTTTGACCTATTTATTGGGGGGGGTCACCCCTGATATTCAGGGGACCCCCCTCCCCCAAAATTGGGGGACTACCCCCCCCGAGCCAAAAATAAACCCCCCCCAAAAAAAGTGTTGAGTGACGGGTTTTGGGGAAAGGCGTGGTGGGGGTGGGGTGATTTTGGGGCTTCTGGGGTAAATTTGAGGGTCTGGGGGAAATTTGGGGGGCGTGGGGGAAAATTTGGGGAATTTTGGGGGGCCCAGGGGGGGATTTCGGGGATGTGGGAGGAATTAGGGGGGCCAGTGGGAATTTGGGGGGGCTCGGGGGGGAATTTTGGGGGGTTCTTTAGAGGAGCTGGGGGGGGCATTTCGGGGGGATTTGGGGGGTTAGAGGGGATTTAGGGGCTCCGGGGGGATTTTGGGGGGGCAAGGGGGAGAAATTGGGGGGACTGGGGGGAATTTGGGGGGTCATTTGGGGGAATTGGGTGGGCGGGGGGAGAATTTCGGAGGGATTTGGAGGGGGGGCAAGGGGGATTTAGGGGGCCTGGGGGGAATTTGGGGGGGACTGGAGGGGATTTCGGGCGGGTCATTTGGGGGAATTGGGGTGGCCGGGGTGGAACTTGAGAGCCCGGGGGGGGGGACTTGGGGGGTCCGAGGGGAATTTGGGGGGCCCGGGGGGAATTTGGGGGGCCCAGGGGGATATTTGAGGGGTCCGAAGGGGGATTTTGCTTTCCCACGTGACAGTGACACCCCAAAAAGGAGGCGGGGGAGGAGTCCAGGGGTGTCCCCCCCCTTTTCTGGGGTCAATTCAGGCCATTTCGGGGTCGATAAATAAATTTATTAATCAATAAATAAATGTATTAATCAATAAATAATCAAGAGGACAATAATTGGGGGGGAGAGGGGCCGGGGGGGGGAAGCTCCGAGGTCCCCAAATGTCCCCAAAGGCATCTGGGAGGTGCCGGGAGGACCCCGGGAGGACCCCAATTGTCCCCAAATGTCCCCAAATGTCCCCAAGTGTCCCCATGTCCAGCACTGGGGTCCCCAAATGTCCCCAAGTGTCCAAAACTGGGACTCCCAGGGTCCCCAAATGTCCCTAAGTGTCCAAAACTGGGACTCCCAGGGTCCCCAAATGTCCCTTGGTGTCCCCATGTCCAGCACTGGGGTCCACGATGTCCCTTGGTGTCCCCAAACCCTTGGACAGGGGGGTCTCAGCACCCAAATCTTCACGAGTGAAGGTCCACGATGTCCCTTGATGTCCCCAAACCCCTGGACAGGGCGGGTCTCAGGATCCAAATCCCCCCAGTGTCCCTTGGTGTCCCCAACCCAAATCTCCACGTGGGAAGGTCCACGATGTCCTTTGATGTCCCCAAATCTCCAGATGGGGGGGTCTCAGCACCCAGATCTCCACGATGTCCCTTGATGTCCCCAAACCCTTGGACATGGGGGGGTCTCAGGACCCAAATCTCCACAAGGGAGGGTCCACGATGTCCTTTGGTGCCCCCAAATCTCTCGCCATGGGGGTCTCAGCACCAAAATCTTCACGAGTGAAGGTCCACGATGTCCCTTGATGTCCCCAAACCCTTGGACATGGGGGGGGGGGGTGTCTCAGGACCCAAATCTCCACATGGGAGGGTCCACAATGTCCTTTGATATCCCCAAATCTCTCACCGTGGGGGGTTGGGGGAGCTCAGTCTCAGGACCCCCGTGGTGAAAGATCGCTTGGGGTGACCATCGCTGCGTGTCCCTCTCCCTTCTCCCCTCCCCCCCCCCAAAAAAAAAAGTGCCACCCCCGGGGCGTCTCTGTCACCCGCCCGCGATGCGCAGCAGCCCCACGAAGTTGCCCTCGCTCTCGTCCTGCGCCAGCTGCCACCCCTCGTGTCCCCCCTCCGGTGTCACCCGCAGGCTCAGCGTGTCCCCCTCGTCCAGCCGCGCCACACCCTGGGCCAGCGGCGAGCGCGCCCGGTGGCTCCCGAGCCCGCTGGGCAGCTCCACGGGCACCTCGAGCAGCGGCCACCGCGACCCCCCCGAGCCCCGCAGCACCCGCAGGACCACCCGGCCCGGGGGGCACCGGGAGGTCGCGCAGCTCAGCGAGAGTTGCCCGTAGAGGAGGTAGAGACCCCCCCGCGCCACCCGCAGCGAGCTCGCCGAGTCCCGCAGCACGTCCGCGCTCGGGAAAACGCCCTCGACGCCCGGCTCGTAGTGCCAGGAGCGGTTGGAGAAGGTCGGGAGGGAGCCTGGGGGGGGGGAAAAAGGGGGGAGTTATAGGGGGGAGGGAGGGGAGAGGGAGGGGAAGGGGTGTAAGGAGGGGAGGAGGTGCGGGGGGAAGGGGGTGAGGTGGTGGGAGGGGGGGAGTGCAAGGGGAGGTGGGTGATGGGAAGGGAGGTGGGGTGTCCCCAAGGGACGTGGGGTAATCCAAAGGGACATGGGGTGTCCCAGGAGGAGATGGGTGTCCCCAGCTGGAGATGAGGTGACCCCAATTGGAGATGGAGGTCCCTGATGGGAGATGGGGTGTCCCAAAGGGAGATGGGTGACCCCAAGGGACGTGGGGTGATCCAAAGGGACATGGGGTGTCCCAAGGGGAGATGGGGTGTCCCAAAGGGAGATAGGGTGTCCCAGGAGGAGATGGGTGTCCCCAGCTGGAAATGGGGTGTCCCACAGGGAGATGGGGTGTCCCAAGGGAGGATGGGGTGTCCCAAAGGGACATGGGTGTCCCCAGCTGGAGATGGGGTGTCCCACAGGGAGATGGGGTGTCCCAGGAGGAGATGGGTGTCCCACAGGGAGATGGGGTGTCCCAGGAGGAGATGGGGTGTCCCCAAACCAGGGACACTCCATGACACCCTGGGGACACGGACACTCCGTGACACCCTGTGGATGCTCCATGACACCCTGGGGACACTCCATGACACTCTGGGGACACGGTCACCCCATGACAACTGGGGACACTCCGTGAGGCCCCAGTGCCACCCCCGCAAGCCGCAGCCCGAGGTGCCGTTTCCTCCGTGACACTTTCGGGATGTGACACTTTCGGGATGACTCCGCCCCCTCCACCAGCTACTCCTCCCTCTCCCCCACCTCCCTCCCCCCCCTCCCCGAGCCCCCCAAAATACCCCGGGGGGGGGGCACTCACCGGGGCTGAGCAGGACGTGGGCAGCCGTGGCAGCCTGGGGAGGGCACAGAAGGGGGGGTGTCAGTCTCCAAATGTCCCCAAATGTCCCCAAATGTCCACCCACACGGACACAGGGATGGACAGAGGGACACCCGGATGGACACGAACACCCAGGTGGACACACGAACACAGGGATGGACAGATGGACACAGGGATGGACAGATGGACATAGGGATGGACAGATGGACACAGGGATGGACACACAGGCACCTGGGATGGACAGATGGACACAGGGATGGACACTCGGACATAGGGATGGACTCAAGGACACCTGGGTGGACAGGTGGACAGATGGATGGACACACGGACATCTGGATGCACAGATGGACACCTGGGTGGACAGATGGACGGACAGACGGGCACATAGATGGACAGATGGACACGGACACCCAGGTGGACACACAGACACTTGGATGGACAGAGGGACACCTGGATGGACACACGGGCACATGGATGGACACACGGACACAGCAATGGACAGGTGAACACAGAGATGGACAGATGGACAGCTGGATGGACACAGACACCCAGGTGGACACACAGACACCTGGATGGACAGATGGACACCTGGACGGACAGATGGACACCCAGAAGGATGGACGGGGAAACATGGATGGACACACACCTGGCCAGACAGATGGACACCTGGGTGGATGGACACCTGGACACCAGGACAGAGGGACACCCAGGACAGGACAGACGGCCCCCAGGACAGGACGGACGGCCCCCAGGACAGACGGACAGACCCCGGCCCCCCCGTGCCCACCTGCGGCGGGGGCTCCTCCCGGAGCAGCGCCAGGATCGCGGCGGCGGCCGCGGCGGCTCCGAGAGCGGCGGCGGCGACGGCGGCGGCGACAACCGGGACCAGGCGGCGACAGCGGCTCCCATCCCGATCCCGGTCCCGATCCCGGTCCCGTTCCACGTCCCGGTCCCGGTCCCGGTCCTTGTACCAGTCCTTGTCCTGGTCCCAGTCCTTGTCCCGGTCCTTTTCCCGGTCCCGGTAAGGACACCGGCACGGGCAGGGGGGCACCGGGGGGTTCTCGGGGTCGGCGAGCGGCGACATCGCGGTGGGGAGCGAGCGGAGGAGCCGCCTTATAACGGGGACAGCGGGGAGGGACAGCGGGGAGGGGACTGGGACAGAGGGGAGGGGATGGGGACAGAGGGGAGGGGATGGGGACAGAGGGGAGGGGATGGGGACAGAGGGGAGGGGATGGGGACAGAGGGGGGGACAGCGGGGAGAGGACGGGGAGGGGACGGGGACAGTGGGGAGGGAATGGGGAGGGACGGGGGAGGGACCGAGGACACCGGGGAGGGGACGGGGAGGGACCAGGGACAGCGGGGAGGGGACGGGGACAAAGGGGAGGGACCCGGAAGGGACAGGGGATAACGGGGAGGGGACGGGGGGAGGGACGGGGACAACGGGGAGGGACCGGCGGGGACCGGGAAGGGGATGGGGAAAGACCGGGAAGGGAGAGCGGGAACATCGGGAAGGGGAGGGTGACAGGGGGACACCGGGGACGGGGACACGGGTGACCGGCCGGAGCCGGGGAGGAATTGGGGGGACCCCGAGGGGACCAGGGGAGATCAGGGTGGTACCGGGGAGGGGACACCGGAGGGAACGGAGGGGACCAGAGGGGTCCGGGGAGGGGATGGGGACAACGGGGAGGGGATGGGGACGCCAGGGAGGGACCGGGGGGACTCCGGGGGCGCCGGGGAGGGACAGACCGACACCGGGGAGGGACAGATTGACACCGGAGGGGACCCGAGGGACAACAGGGGGGGGATCGGGGCGACCGGGGAGGGAGTGGGGGGGACTGGAGGGGACAATGGTGGCACCGGGGAGGGACAAAGTGACACCGCAGGGACAACGGGGGGGGGTCCAGGGTGGCACCGGAGAGGGGGGGACCGCGGGCGGGTGGGTGGGGACAGACCGGGGAGAAACCGGCGGCCCCGGGGGCGGGGGGAGCCCTGGGGGACACCGGTGACGTCACGGCGGAGGGGAAGTGTGTGTCCCCCCCACCGTGTCCCCCCCGGGGATTTTGCCTCCCGGCCGTGACGGATTCCCGGAGTTTCCTGCGCGGAGCTGGGAGGGAATTTTTGACCCCCCCGCCTCGAGACCGGGAAGAGTTTTGGGGGGACACGACACAGTGGGGGGGGGAGAGGGAGGGGCGGGGAGTTGATTCCCGGACTCCCGGGGGGCTCCCGGAGAGGTGTGAGAGGTGTGACCCCCCCCCTTGGGTTTGGGCAGAGACCCCTCCATGGGAAACACCCCCCCCAAAATGGGACCCCCAGGGGAGACCCCCAAATGAGCCCCCCCCCATGGGAACCCCCTCAAAATGGGACCCCCCGAGTGAGACCCCTCCCCTAAAAATGACCCCCCCACGGGAAGGCCACCCCCCCCAAATGGGACCCCCGCGGGACCCCCCCCCAAGTGAAAGACCCTTCCAAGGGAGACCCCAAATGTGGATTGTCCCCCAAAATGGGACCCCCATGGGAGACCCCCCCAAATGAGGCCTCCGAACGTTCCCTCCCGTGTGAAGCCCCCCGAAAATGGGAGACCCCCCCTCTATAAGAGACCCCCATGGGAGACAAATTCCCCCCGGGAGACCCTTATGGGTGACCCCCCCCCTCCGAGTGAGACTCCCCCAAAAAGACCCCCCCCATGGGAACCCCCCCAAATGGGACCCCTATGAGAGACTCCTGAGACCCTCAAACGAGGCCCCTCCCCCTAACGTGAAACCCCCCAAAATGGAACCCCCCTGAGTGAGACCCCCCCACCAAAAAAAAGGCCCCTCCCATGGGAAGCCCCCTCAAAATGGGACCCCCCACCCAAGGGACCCCTCCCACGAGACCCCCCGCCCCAAATGGGAGTTCCTGGACCCCCCCAGCCC